ACTGCGCCCGTGTATGCGCACCAAATGCGTGCTACGCATGTGCATGCACCAAAAGGAGGCTTGGGAAGGTAAGTAGAACAGCGAGGGGAGGGTGAATCAGCTGTGCCGTATGATTTAGCTTCGCTAGAAAGCAGGATTTCCTGCTTTCTAGTAAAGCTAAACTGCACGGCACAGCTGATTGTCGGAAATACCAGTTCAGAGGAACCGGTAGCTGTTTTCAACTACCGGTTTGACCAAACCGGTAGCTTTTTTTTTTTTTTTACTGCTGGTTCGCCTGAACCGGTAGTTTTAATTACTACTGGTTCACCTGAACCGGACCAAACCGATAGCATTTCACCCCTGATCCCCTCCCAAAATTCAAGTAGGATTATTTTTTGGTTAATAAATTCAGTTTTTGGTTTGGATAAAGGAAAGAATGGTGGGACATAGCAAGCTCTTCTTAAAACTCAACACAGACTTAATTCCTCAAATGGATGACTTGATGGATTTCAGCTAGATACTAATCCAACATCTCTTTTACAGGCAGTTCATTTAATGACCATTTGAAGTTACAACAGCACTGAAAAAGTGACCCTTTTTCACACCTATGACCGTTGCAGCATCCCCGTGGTCATGTGATCAAAATTCAGATGTTTGGCAACTGACTTCTATTTATGATGGTTGCAGTGTCCTGTGGTCATGTGATCACCTTCTGACAAGTAAAGTCAAAGGGGAAGCGGGAGTCAACATCTATGTTACTAATTTAACAATTAACTTTACAGATTTGGCAAGAAAGGTTGTAAAATGGGGCAAAACCTCACTTAACAAATGTCTCGTTTAGCAAGAGAAATTTTGCCCTCAGTTGTGATCGTAAGTCAAGGACTACCTATATTAGTAACTGAGATACTCTGTTGGTATATGGTCTGTTTGGCAGTTACTTTGCCTTTCATTGTGTGTAAAATTTAAATTTATTTTTATATTGTATTTTAAAATTTGTCTTAGCTGCCCAGAGTCACATTTATGAGATGGGCAGCAATACAAAGCAATTTAAATAAATAAATATTTGGTTTTAACCTAGAGCATGGTTTAAATAAAATCCATTTAGGGTTTATTCAGTAAATTCACACAGGGTATTGTTTACTTGTACGTGTACTCACACATCACCTTCGCTGTAAGGTACAGCAAATAATTTACGAATATTCTGATTGTGGCCTTCAATTTGCACATGATGCGGTTATTTCAAGAATTTTATTTATTTACTCATTGCTTCATTAGAATACCTTGAACTCTGGAGTTTTCGCTCCAAGCTATGGAGAAGACATTTCAAACTAGACAGAGGGAGGGATGAAAAGAATTAATGATTTCCAGAATGGCATTTGCTTTCTTCGGGGGTGGATGGGTGGTTTGGGTTTCTATGGCTGCATTTACTCCATTCCCTCACTCACACAGTCCTTGCTGACATAGATTTTATTAGCATATATAAGTTAGCAAGTTAGGATTTTTCTCCCTTCATGTTAATATTCATGCCTCCAAATTTGTAGGTATCTTTCTGGAAATGTTTACCAGCGCTTCTTATTCCATGCAATCTTTTTTTTTTTTAGAATAGAATTCTTTACTGGCCAAGTGTGATTGGACACACAAGGAATTTGTCTTTGGTGCATTTGGTACATTTGTCAAGAATCATAAGGTACAACACTTAATGATAGTCATATCATATCTTAGTCATTACAAATAAGCAATCAAATCATACTAGAAATCAATCAATATAAATCATAAGGATACAAGCAACAACGTTACAGTCATACAGTCATAAGTGGAAGGAGATGGGTGATAGGAATGATGAGAAGATGAATAGTAACACAGACTTAGTGAATAGTTTGAAAGTGTTGAGGGAATTAGTTGTTTAGCAGGGTGATGGCCTTCTTGTGTCTAGTTGTTCTGGTGTGCAGTGCTCTATAGCATTGTTTTGAGGGTAGGAGTTGAAACAATTTATGTCCAGGATGTGAGGGGTCTGTAGATATTTTCACAGCCCTCTTTTTGACTCCTGCAGTCAAAAAAGTATTTTTTAAAATGCTGTTAGCATTTTGACACATTGAGTGCTCACTTCTAATTCTAGATCAATTATAAAACAAATGAATACACACCAATTCCAAAATAATTTGTTGAGGGATGGCCCAGATCATATCCCTCCATAGCAAGATTTATTTAGTCATTTAGTTGTCCTTTCTCTTTTCATAAAAGAACTTTGCTCATAAAAACTAATTTTGCTCAAGAATCTGGGTTAACTTCCCTGGGAGCTTCCTGGAGGACCAAATAAACATCCCCTCTTTTGCATCTCTTCTGATTCTTTACATTCTCAATCTACAATAGTCAAGAGGCAGAATCTATTGACAGAATTAGGCAAGTTTTAGATACAGGACCCTTCTTTATATAGACATTATTCAGTTATGAAGCCCACAATGTATTAAGCAGTAAGTTACCACTTTGTTGAAAATGTATTAATTTTATTGCAAGAAAGGTCAATGCAAGAAACGTCTTGCAATGTTTATTGCAAGAACAAAATGAACACATTAATCAGATCAGCAGACCCTGCAGCTCAAAATGTTTTTTTTTTTAAAATAAGAATGATGTGGCCTTAATCAACCTGGAGCCAGTTTATTTCTGTTTTTTCCCGAACAGTTTTTTCCCGAACACCATCGCTCTGCTAAACAAATAATTCCTTCCATACTGTCAAACTATTCACTAAGTCTGCATTACTATTACTATTAGTCTTCTCATCGTTCCTATCATCCATCTCCTCCCATTTACGACTGTATGACTGTAACCTTGTTGCTTGTATCCTTACGATTTATATTGATATTGTTTCCTAGTATGATTTGATTGCTTATTTGTAACCTATGACTATCATTAAGTGTTGTACCTTATGATTCTTGACGAACGTATCTTGTCTTTTATGTACACTGAGAGCATATGCACCAAGACAAATTCCTTGTGTGTCTAATCACACTTGGCCAATAAAGAATTCAATTCAATTCAATTCCATTCCATTCTCCATGTTCTATCCATACCATGGCTTCCTGATTGTGTATTTAAGCTTCTCATGAGGACAATGACATTACAGGTAGTCCTCGATTTACAAGAGTTTGTTTAGTGACTGTTAAAAGCTACCACGGCTCTGAAAAAAGTGACTTTTGAATGTTTTCAGTTACCTATGCAGCATCCTCATGATCTTGTGATCAAAATTCAGAAGTTTGACAACTGATTCATACTTATGACCATTGCTGTGTTCCAAGGCCACGTGATCATCTTTTGCAACCTTCTGACAAGCAAAGCCAATAGAGAAGCCAGTTTCACTTAACTGGGTTATTAATTTATCAACCGCAGATTCACTTAACAACTGTGGCAAGGAAATGGGGCAAAGCTCGCTGAACAAATGTCTATGGAGATTCTCAGTCATTCAGGTCATGGTTGTCCCAAAGGTACTTTTTCAAGAGGCAACTGGACTTTCTGGGGTTTTTTGAAGACATTTCACTTCTCTTCTCATCTCATCAGTTGAAGAAGCTTCTTGGATGAGAAGCGAAACATCTTCAAAGAAAAACCAGAAAGTCCAGTTGCCTGTTGAAAAAGCACTTTTGGGACAACCATGACCTGGATGACTGAGAAACTTCATCGACATTCACTGAACAAATGTTGAGGTGTTGAGACTCTAGAAAGAGTGCAGAGAAGAGCAACCAAGATCATTAGGGGACTGAAGGCTAAAACATACGATGAATGGTTGCAGGAACTGGGAATGGCTAGTCTAGTGAAGCGAAGGACCAGGGGAGACATGATAGCAGTATTCCAATATTTGAGGGGCTGCCACAGAGAGGAAGGGGTCAAGCTATTTTCCAAAGCACCTGAAGGCCAGACAACGAAAAATGGATGGAAACTGAACAAGGAGATTCAACCTCCTTATTTCGAGACATTTTCTGACAGTGAGAACAATCAACCAATGGAACAGAAGTTGCCTTCGGAAGTTGTGGGAGCTTCATCCCTGAGTCCTCAGGGAGAAGGGCGGTATATAAATTTAAAATAAAAAATAAATAAATAAAAGAAGAGACTGGATTGCTATTTGTTGAGTCTGCTGCTTGGGCGGGGAGGTGGGGTTGGACTAGATGACCTCCAAGGTCCCTTCCAACCAGAGGTGTGTTTCAGCAGGTTCTCACCAGTTCTGGAGAACCGGTAGCGGATATTTTGAGTAGTTCGGAGAACCGGTAGTAAAAATTCTGACTGGCCCCACCCCCATCTAATTTCTGCCTCCCAAGTCCAAGCTGATCAGGAGGAAATGGGGATTTTGCAGTAACCTTCCCCTGGATTGGGAAGGGAATGGAGATTTTACAGCATCCTTTCCTTGGATTTATTTATTATTTATTTATTTTGTCGCATTTCTATGCCGCCCCACTCCCAAGGGACTCTGGGTGGCTTATGGGGAAATGGGGATTTTGCAGTAACCTTCCCCAGATTGGGGTGGGAATGGAGATTTTACAGTATCCTTCCCCTGCCACGCCCACAAAACCAGTAGTAAAAAAATTTGACACCCACCCCTGCTTCCAACTCTATTAATCTGTTAATGGTTTCCCTTAACAACAGGAATTTTGGGTTCAATTGCGGTCATAAGTCGAGGACCACTGTATTCTAAAATTCCCATTTTTCTGAGTACTTTCCACGGGAGGTTTCTTGCTACTCCGTATGTTTCGAAGAATAGGTGGCTTCCTTTTGGTTCTCCGCCGCGAAAACTCAAAAAAAAAAACCCATCAGGCAAATGCGGCTCTTTCTCTGTAGGCGCAGCGGCCCGCCTTGCTGTCTTCCAACCCCACTTCGCAAGCAAAGACCTTTTAACGCGCCTCCTTCAATGCCAAGAGCTGGAGGCCGGAGGCGGCCTCAAGAAGAGGCAGGAGACAGACACCACCCGAGTTCCCGCGCGGCTGCCATTGGCCCCGGCCGAGGGTGGGGTCGGGAGGCGCCTCTCCCGGAGGCTGAACCGCCGGCGTTGCATCACTCGCTTGCGCAGGCCTCCCACACCGCGCGGCTGTCAGAGGGAAGGAAAGGGAAGGAAGGAGGCTCGTTCGGAGCGGCCAACACCATTGGGCCCGGGAGCGAAAGGAGGCGGGTCGCCAAGCTCTCCTCATAGGGCAGGAGAGCCGCGGGTGAAGGGCTGCGTCTTTGGCCGGCCGAGAACAGAGCTGGAAGATTTTGTCAGGGACCTTCAGTCCAACCGTCGCTCCGCCGGGAAGGGGGAAAAAAAAAAAAAGCCGAAGGATCCCAACGGGAGAGGCTGCGCCTGCTGCGTAATTACGCATCGCTTCTCCAAGAGTGGCGCTTAAGTGCCAGGTACTATTGTAGAAGCTGCGCGCTTTCCATTCATCCTGGGCGAGGCCGCGGGTCTCTTGCTCGCTCGGTGGAGGTGGAAGGTGAGTAGTGGCGGGTTTCGGAGTAATTAGGAGTGGGGGGGGGTTCCTAAGCTTCCCCCCCACCCCCGGTTCTAGGGGAGAGGGATGCTCTGCCGGGGTTAGAGAACCGTAGGTGCTGCTCCCCCTTCCCCGATCGTTCTAAAGGAGCTTTGCCCTTCTGCTCTGTGTCGCCTCGTGGTTACTACGCGGATACGCCTTTAGTTGCCTTTAATTGCATCAGCGCCGCCGCCGCCTTAATTGGCCTCTCGGAGCAAATTGCTGCATAGGTGGAAGGGAATGCATGATGCATGAGTGGAAGGTTGCCTCTCCGCTGAAAAATGCTCCTGCCTATCGACGCGCAAGCATTGCCGAGTTACAATTTTGGGGCAGTGGGGTGGGGGGGCAGATTCGAGGGGCCACCTGCACTTCTCCTCTGGTTCTTGCAGTGGTGTCGAAACTTCCAAGAAATACGCGGAGGGCTTTTTTTCCCCCGTTAAGCGTCAGGAGGGTTGATTTTTTTTTTTCTAGCAATTTGAAGTATTTTTTTTAAAACATTAAAATGCATGTCATACTTATTCAGGGCTCCAAATTGCGCGCGACTTGAAGAGGATTGGAATTTCATGAATTGAAATTCGGTCTTGCAAAAGAGACGCTACTTCTGAACGTGGGAGGGTTCCTTTTTTTTTTTTTTCCTGTCGGGCAAGCAAGACATGAATGAGTTACCGTGTAACCGGATAAAGATCATTTGTAAACTCCGTGTAAATTGCCTCCCCCCACTCTCTCTCTCTCTCCGCTGCCTTTTTAACGCGAGCCGCCCCATGAAGTTCAACGGGACTTCCTTCCCGCTGCCTAAACGGCCTTTTGCAACCTGGCGCCCTCCAGATGGAAACCTCATCTCCCACAATTCCCACTTTGGGGAGGGGGGGGGAGTTGTGAAGTTGCCCTTCACAAAAGACATCTGGCGAGTGTAAAATTGTACGTGGCGCTGCATTTCAGCTATATAACACAATCGATGCTTTTGTTCCCCGTTTTTATATTTTGAATGGCCAGAGTCGCATAGTGTGAGATAGGCGCGGCTATATAATTTTTTTTTGCGTGAATTTCATTTATATGCCGCCCTTCTCCGGAGACTTAGGGCGGCTTACAATGCGTTAAGCAATAGCCTTCATACTTTTGTATATATTTTTTTACAAAGTCAGCTTATTGCCCCCACAAACTGGGTCCTCAATTTACCTACTTTAGAAAGGATGGAAGGCTGAGTCAACCCTGAGCCTGGCGAGATTCGAACTTACTAATTGCAGACAGCTGGAGTTAAATTACAATGCAATAGTCTGCTGAGCTATCCAGGCTCCTGGATGAATCGCAATCTACTGGGTTAATTTTGTCACTGGGCATCCGAGCTTCCTGTGAATTTTTCGCGATTCTTGTTTTCAAGCCCGCTGTGGCTTGGCTGAAGTCCAGGGATTGGGAGCGGCGACGCCGCCTTTATTTTTTTCTGTTGCGCTGCGTGGATTTCTAAGGTTTTGGAACGCGCCGCCTAGCGAGGCACGAGTGGCAGCCTGGGAAAGGCGAGCGGGACGGTGCCGCGTCTCTGTTGCCAAGCGAGGCGCTGGGATGCGAGTGGGAGACGGCTCCGGTTATTTCTGGAGAATGCGGAAGACGCCCAGCTCGCTTCGCTCCGAAGAGGAGGGCCGAGCAATGGAGGCTTTGCAGCCAGACCCTGGAAGGCGGTGCCCAGTCCGGGAAGGCTGGGCTCCCGGGCTTCTTGCGCTGATGCTGGTTGCGTGGCTTTTCTCTCAGAGGCGCGGCTGGGTGCTTCATCTTTCTCTTTTGACACGCGAGGAGGAGCCTGGCTCTGGTCGTCGGGACGCGTGGCTGCAGTTCGCGGGGTTCCACTTCGTTTTTTAACCCAGCGTTGTGAACCCGGACGAGGATCTCTTAATCATGTGACGTCGAAATATGGAGTTAACTTGAATTGCGCCCTGTTCAAATTAATTAGAATAACAGAGGTGGAAGGGACCCTTGGAGGTCTTCTAGTCCAACCTCCTGCTCAGGCAGGAGACCCTATAACCGTGATGGCAAACCTATGGTACGCGTGCCACAAGTGGCACACCGAACCATATTGGTGGGCACATGAGCATTGCCCTATCTTAGCTCCAGCACGCATGCGTACGCTGGCCAGCTGATTTTTGGGCCTTCTGGGCCCAGGGGAAATCAGCAAATGGGCTGTTTCCGGCCTCGGGGGAGGTGGGGAAGGCTGTTTTTGACCTCCCCAGGCTCCTAGAAAGCCTCTGGAACCTGAGGAGGGCAAAAAAATGGCCCCACCGGGCCATCATATGCCAAAAGTGGGGGGACCATGGGGGGGTTGTGCACGCATGCGTGGCTGCAGAGCGCATAGAATTATGGATGTGGGCACACACACATGCGACCACCCCGCACTCCCCCAGGTTTTGGCACGCGATGGCAAAAAGGTTAGCCATCACTGCCCTGTAACATTTTAGAATAACACAATAACAGAGTTGGAAGGGACCTTGGAGGTCTTCTAGTCCAACCAGAACCTCCTGTTCAAGCAGGAGACCCTATACAGAACCTCCTGTTCAAACAGGAGACCCTATACGATTCCAGACAAATGGTTGTCCAGTCTCTTCTTAGAAACCTTCAGTGATAACAGCACTCACCACTTCTAGGGGGTGGTGGTGGTGTCGTCGGCAATCTGGTTTTGGCTCTGTTGCTGATAATATTGGTTCCCTCTATTAGTTAATACATTGGGAAGGATGTCCCAAAGGTACTTTTTCAGGAGGCAACTGGACTTTCATGTTTTTTTCTTTTCTTTTGAAGACGTTTCGCTTCTCATCCAAGAAGCTTGTTCAGCTCTGACAGGATAGTGGGGAATCTGTAAACACCTTTGGGACAACTATGACCTGGATGACAGAGAATCTCTACAGATTGGGAAAGGTGGCTTAATAGCCAGAAGTTTGACTTAGACTTAGATCTTTATTGTCACTTTGAATGTACACTAATACATTAAAATGTAATTTTGTTGCATAAAGTTCTCAAACTACCTCCAATATATAGATAGATAGTAGATATACATGACTAAATAAATAAATAAATACAAAATTAAGCATATACCCACAAACCCATATATACGACACATTATACCACATACAAAGTTTTGGTTTTATTCATTGAGGGGTGAAAATCTGCATGGTTTTTGGAGAGTTAAGTTCAGGGGGGAAATCCATCAGGTTCTGACAGGTTCTGGAGAACTGGTAGGGGCAATTTTGAGTAGTTCAGAGAACTGGCAAATACCACCTCTGGCTGGCCCCAGAGTGGGGTGGGAATGGAGATTTTGCAATATCCTCCCCCCAGGAGTGGGGAGGGAATGGAGATTTTGCAGTATCCTTCCCGTGCCACGCCCACCAAGCCACACCACGCTCACAGAACCGGTAGTAAAAAAATTTGGATTTCACCACTGGTTAAGTTGTATTATGTTCAGTAATTGTGGGTGGTTAGACATCCTCTGATTTTTAGTTATGTACGCCTTTATGTCAGCATTGATTTGTGGTGACTACCCACACTAGGCAGTTTTCTTGACAAGATTTTTCAGACTGGTTTGCCATTGCTTCCTTCCTGGTGCTGAGAGGGTGTGACTGGTCCAAGGTCATCCTGTTGACTTTGCTCCTAAAGTGGGACTATGACTCATCTGGTTTCTAACTTGATAACTTAATCCTTATACTACACCAAACTGGCCTATCCTTTGTAGAATATCATTATTCCTTTCTTGACAGCTTTTACATTCTTCCTCAAAATCCTGGAAGCTAAACATCTTAGGACTTGGTTAATCCTTGCTTGGAGATCATTGGGAAGTTGCAGAAATATCCCAGAAGTTGTCTTAGTTTTGACCTGACTTACATTTTTTTGATATGGGCATGTCCCAATTAAAAAATAAAAATGAAAACATGGACTGTATCATAGTTTAAAGCTCCTGGAATTATTGACGTTTTATTTAAATTAATAATTGTATCTCGGTGGTTGCATGACCTATTTAGGTGCCAATACGCTAAATAAAGAAATTAACTGGAAATATGGTGCTGGTATCTATTGTGTTTTACAATCAAAAACTTTATTTGGCCAAGTGTGCTTAGACATGCAAGGAATTTGTCTCCGGTGCAGAATCTGTCAGTGTATAGGCAAAGCAACATTATTATCATGAATAGTAAAGAAGGATAATACTACAATGATTTTACCTTACATAGACATTAGATAGTTACTGTGAGAATTAGGTGTTCAGCAGAGTGATGGCACAAAGGGAAAAAACTGTCCATGTGTCTTAGTTGATTTGGCATGCAAGTAACCTCTCGGAGGAGGTTTCGAAATATTTCTAGCAGGACTACCAGATTCTGTAACAGCTTTGTTTCAGTGGTGGGTTTCAACCAGTGTTACCACCGGTTTGCTTCATGAAAGTGCTTTGCGCATGCGCATTGCATTTCTGAACAGCTGAGGTGAGGCAATCCGCTCTGCCGCGCCTTTCAGCTGGGCTAAAAACAACTGAATATAGGTAAGTATAACGCAGGGGTGGGTGGGAGGGCCCAGCTGACAGTCGAAGCGAACCTGTTCGCTCTCAGCTCACCATTGCTGCTACCGGCTCTCCAGAACCGGGACGAACCAGTAGAAACCAACCGCTGCTTTGTTCCCTATGCCATCCATCTGGCAAAGTCGCAAGATTCATTTCTCTCGCCATTTACATGTATACATCCAAACTAGAGTTTGCTGTTTCTCGGTGTCATATAATATATGTGGGTATATGCATAATTTAATATTTATTTATTTTGTCATGTTTATATAGTGTATATTAGAGGTGGAGACCCTTTAAGAACTGTATGCAATGAAATTTCATTTTAATGTATGCCGATTAGTGTACATTCAAAGTGACAAAGTTGTTCTAAGTTCTTTAATTACTAAAATATAGTTGTGATTGTCTAAATGCAGAGTGAGCTAATAAAAAAGGGAATTCCTTACACTTTTACTGATTACCACATACCAGGATGAATAGAAATATCCCTTTGATGGTGACTAACAATCTCCACAGCCCTTCACACAAATCCTACACTATTATTTGGCTAGTGTTGTTATTTTGATTCAAGATTAGATATTGTCAAAGCCACTGTACAGATCCCAAGTTCTAGGCATGTGAAATTCTGAACAATAGTTGCAAGCACATTCTCAAAGTACTGAGTCACACGCTATAACCAGCTTATTTGCATTCAGTCTTTGAAATCGGCAGAAGGCAATTGTATCTCTGAATTGCATGACTTGTAAATAGATTATATGAAATAAGAAAGCTGTATTTCTCCATCACATGTCTTTGGAAATTTTCAAAACAATTAAGTTTGAAGGGAATGGACAATGAAGCAAAGAAACAATTTTGTGCTTTTTTTTTTTTAAACTTAGAAGTACAGATTTTCTCTTTAACATAGGAACTATTCTCCTTTCTCTCACTCATTTTTTGCCAAGACCAGGGTGGATAAAAATCAATGATTTTTTTTAAAAAATCAAAAAAATCAGATTTTTTTTATTTAAATCGGATTTTTTTGATTTAAATTGGATTTTTTTGATTTAAATTGGATTTTTTTGATTTTTATCGAATTTATTTTAATAAAAAACTTTTGGGGTAAAAATCTATCGTAAGATAGTTTTCTATTTAAGATACATAAATAATTTAGTTTATTCAGCATGAAATGGAGCTTAGTTATGTAGCATGAGGCTGTGTATTCTGCAACACTGGGACTATAGGTGAGTCAACAGTGGGTCAAAGGAGTAGCAGAGATGACAGTTGCTCTTTAAAAATTATGATTTAAATCGAGTTGATTTAAATCAAGCCTTTTTACTAGCGATTTAAATCACCACCCTGGCCAAGACTGAGATGTTTAACTCCACCCTGGCCAAGACTGAGATGTTTCTGATCCTGAGAGGTTTTTTTCCATTGTGTTTTAGAGCAGTGATTTTCAACCTGTAGTCTGCAGACCCCTGGGGGGGGGAGCTGCACGGATCCTCTGTCACGGAGTCCGTGAAGGCTTGAATATTATGGTTTAAATCTTGAGTTACCGTATTTTTTGGACTATAAAACACACTGGAGTATAAGACGCACCTAGATTTCGAAGAGGAAAACCAGGAAAAAAAAGTTTTTGGCCTTTGCACATCCGTTTTTTTTTTTTTTTTTAATTTGATTTATATGCCGCCCTTCTCCGAAGACTCAGGGCGGCTTACAATGTGCTCAGCAATAGCCTTCATCCTTTTTTTGTATATTTATACAAAGTCAGCTTATTGCCCCCACAAACTGGGTCCTCATTTCACCTACCTTAGAAAGGATGGAAGGCTGAGTCAACCTTGAGCCTTGGCGAGATTCGAACCCTGCAGTAATTGCAGGCAGCTGGTCTTAATAAGCTTAATAACAGGGTGCCTTAAACCCCTGTACTACCAAGGCTCTTTTGCCCTCCCCGACCCCCAGGAGCGCACTGCAGGCCTCCCAAACCCTCTGCATGTCCCGTTTTTGCCAAAAACGTACCTATTTTTGGCCTCCCGAACCACCCACATGTCCCATTTTTGCTCTCCACAGCTTCCAGGAGCACTCTGCAGGTCTCCCAAACCCTTTACGCATCCCGTTTTTGGCGAAAACAGGACACGCGGATGGGTTCAGGACGTGCAGGGGAGGTTCTGGAGGCCAAAAATAGGGCCGTATTCGGCCTATAAGATGCACAGACATTTCCACCCACTTTTCTGGGGGAAAACGGTGTGTCTTATAGGCCGAAAAATATGATAATTCTTGGTGGTCCGTGCCCATGGTCTGTGGCCACTGAAGGTATTTAAAGGGGCTCTGCGCCGGTGAAGAAAAAGTTGAGAACCACTGTTTAGAGTATGTAGATATATTCCCAAAGAATTTCCATTAGTCATGCTTGATAGAATTTGGCAAGCAAGGTCACTGTTCTGATTTCCTCACCTTCCTCTTGTATAACTTTAAAAAAAAACTTCCACTGAACTTATTTTAACTCTTTAGGTGCTGGGCTGCTCCCTTAAATTTCTCTTGAGTGGTGACTGGAAGATTCTACTCTCAAGGCAGAAATGCCACAGATTACTCAATGTTTGATCTGCCATTGTAAGAATATTTGTTTTTATTTTACTACCCAAGCTTAGGTTAAAGTACTCTCATTACTCTAAATTCTCAGTAACAGCATTGACCTCAGGTTGACCCTCAGGGATAAAGATAACTTATATTATTTCTTTCTTGGCCTTGTAGAAGAACACAAAAATCATTATGAGACTGTCTACCGTATAGATTTAGAAAACTGTTCCAGGGAAAGTAGAGGTCTCTGATTTTCTTTTCACAACAGTCCTGATGATTTATACATACACACATAAAAATATAAGGGTCAGTTTGGTCTAGTAATTAAGACGATGGGTTAGGAGCCTCAGGCACAAAAGCCAACTTGGATGGCTTTGAGACAGTCCATTCTCTCTCTACTGTTTGAAGAAGGAAATAGCATTTTCTTTCCGACAGAGTCTTCTCCCTTAATTGGATTGGCTTGTATATAAAAATAAATCTCTCACACACAAAAAACAGCTAAATATATTGCAAATGAGTAATTTTGCAAGTTCTTTAGAGCCTTTTCTACACGGCTGAACTGGCAGAAGACTTAACCGGTAGCATCCATTCATGTTTTTATAGCCTCTGTTCTGACTTGCTGCCAAATAGCCAGTGTCCTGATTTCAAGTGTGCAGGAAGTGTGAAGGAAAGCTCTTGGTGAAAGTTGATGGCTTTACTGTCCTTAACCTTTCTCTGTACATCACCACCTGGTGTGAAACAAATCTGCCCATCACCACAACATTGCTGGGGCTGGCAGCTGGCATTGATAGATGACTGGACCTGAGCATCTAGCTATCTGTTAAAACTCTTCCTAGGCCTGTGGAACAAGTAATCCTTTGAGGGTGGATGGGGTAGAGAAGATTACTACAGGCCTTGGAAGAGTTTTATCAGATAGCTCTGCTTTACATGTTGTCCTCAGTTGTTGTCGGCCACAACTGAGGCCAGAACTTCCATTGCTAAGCAAGGTGATGGTTAAGTGAAATTTTACGATTTTTTTTTAAATTTGATTTATATGCCACCCTTCTCCGGAGACTCAGGGCGGCTTACAATGCGTTAAGTAATAGCCTTCATACTTTTGTATATTTATACAAAGTCAGCTTATTGCCCCCACAAACTGGGTCCTCATTTCACCTACCTTAGAAAGGATGGAAGGCTGAGTCAACCTTGAGCCTGGTGAGATTCGAACTTACAGTAATTGCAGACAGCTGGTGTTAATCACAATGCTATCAGTCTGCTGAGCCAGCAGGCCCATTTTGCCATGTTTTTTAAGCAAAATCACTTGCCGTTATTAATCTCATGGTTGTGAAGCGAATATGGCTTCCCCCATTGTCTTTGCTTATTGAAAGCCGGCTGGGAACGTCGCAAATGGCAATCAAGATGACCCAGGGACACTGCAGTCCTGGTTTGTTTGTTTGTTTGGTCATGTCACAATTAAAACAAGGCATTTTATGTCGTGTAAAATATAAAATACAAGATTAAAATAATGTACCAATTAAACAGATTTTGCCCAGAATTCATGCCAATTGCACAATTGATTGTGCAGCTATCAGGATGCTATTATGATTGTAAATGTGAATACCGGTTGCCAGTCACTAGTTCCAATGCCGTTGTAACTTTGAATGGTCTCTAAACGAATGATTATAAGTCGAGGATTACTTGTACTGGACAGTTCCCCCAATCTTTATTCTTAACTGTTGAGTAGGCTTTTTTCTTAACTGACTCCATGTGCAAAATAAGGTAGAAGAACCATGGAACGAGGTGGGAATCTTCCAGTAAAGCTGCCCACTTCTACCCAACAGCTTGAAGGCCTCATGCGGACTTGAGCCTTAGACCACTTGCTCTTTATTCATTGAATCATTGCCAGTTGGCTGTGTCATTATACCAACATTATACCCCCCAAAAATCATGGTTTATAAAATATGGTTTACATCCATAACACATTAAGCCGAGAGGCCAAGCAGCCTATTTACAGCTTAGCTGTTAAAAGAACCTGGCCAGCAAGATGTTTCCATGGAAACCACGTCCATATTGCTGCCAAGAAACCAACGTGAACCATGTAGTCCCTAGGAGCTGAGCTCAATTTATGAGAGACTTTATCTTTTAATTATATGTGGGGCAGATGTTCTGGATATCAATTCTGTTTTGTTTGTTTTCTTTCCTCAGGCTCCTCTTTTCGACGTTTTCATAGCCGGCTTCCCACTGTCTTGTTCCTCATCACCATCTCTGGCATTGAGTGATGTCCACGGCTGCCTTAATCAGTCTGGTTCGGAATAGAGGCCACCAGCTGCAGAGGGCCCTGCTTACATCTTGTACAATTCTCAGCCCCAAGTGTCAAATTTCCACCAACGACTGCAAGGCTTCGCGTTTCGATCTGGATGGGAGCGGCTGCCCCGCCACCTGGGATTCCTTTGGGATTTGGGACAACCGCCTGGACGAGCCCATCTTGCTCCCCCCCAGCATCAAGTATGGGAAGCTGATTCCCAAAGTCAGCCTGTCAAACGTGGGCTGTGCCACCCTTATTGGGAAACGGAAGGAAAATGAGGACCGTTTTGATTACGCCCAGCTGACGGAGGAGGTCCTGTATTTTGCCATTTTCGATGGGCACGGCGGGGTGGCAGCAGCTGATTTCTGCAACAAGTACATGCCGAAATATATTCGGTGAGTCCTGTGTGTGGATTTGTAAGGGAAAGGAGAAAGACATTCAGTGCTCACTTGCTTAGTTACATATATAGGTAGTCCTTGACTTACAACAGTTCATTTAGGGTCGTGATGGCGAACCTGTGGCACGCGACTGAGAGGTGGCATATAGAGCCCTCTCTGCTGGCACGCGTGTCATTGCTCCAGGTCAGATCTCCGTGGCGTTTTCTTTCATGAGCTTCTGTTTCCCTGCAAATGATGAAAGCAGAAGCTCACAAAAGAAAAAGATTTAACAGAAACAGAGTTGGAAGGGACCTTGGAGGTCATCTAGTCCAACCCCCTGCTCACGCAGGAGACCTATACTAGGGATTTGAACCGCCGAACTACCGACCTTTCTGATCGGCAAGCTTAGCCGATCTTAGCCACTGAGCCACCTAACCAGATCTTACCTCTTGCCGTGCTGCCGGTGTTGGGATGCCCCGCCTCCCACTGGCCAGCTGGTCTTCAGGTCTCTGCTGCGCATGTGTGCATGTCTGTGCATGTGCGTTTGTGTGCACCTTTCAGTTTGGGCATGTGTGCATGTACAGTTTGGGCACTCGGTGTGGTTTGCCATCACTGATTTAGGGTCTGTTTGAAATTACAACAGCACTGAAAAAAGTGACTTGCGACCATTTTTCACTCTTATGACCATTGCAGCATCCTCATGTTATGTGATCAAAAGTTGGAGGCTTGGCAACTGACTCATATTTATGGCGGTTGCAGTGTCCCAGGGTCATGTGATCCGCTTTTGCGACCTCTGACAAGCAAAGTCAGTGGGGAAGCCAGATTCACTTAACAACCATGTTACTAACTTAACGATTGCAGTGATTCACTTAACAACTGTGGCCAGAAAGGTCATAAAATGGAGCAAAACTCCAAATGGTTGTTAATTGAGTTTTGCCTCATTTCATGGCCTTTCTGGCCACAGTTGTTAAGTGAATCACTGCAGTTAAGTTACTAACATGGTTGTTAAATAAAATTGGTTTCTCCTTGACTCTTGCTTGTTAGAAGGTCGCAAAAGGTGATCATGTGACCTGCAACTGTCATAAAGTTGAGTCAGCTGCCAAGCATCTGAATTTTGGTCACGTGACTATGGGGATACTGCAACGTCGTAAGCATGAAAAACAGTCATAAGTCACTTTTTCAGTGCCATTGTAATGGCACTGAACTGTTCAAAGTCACTAAATGAATGATTGTAGGCTGAGAACTACCTGTACTTAGGACAGGTGGAAGCTTTCTAGTAAAGCAGTAGAAAAAAACCCTGTTCCTCTTCTATTTTAATAGGAGCTATGTGGATATTCTTGCTAGCTCTTGGTTGTTTTGCTTCTCAATAACTTGCTTTTCCTGCATTCTGTTATTCTAATTCTTGCTGGTTTGATTTTCTTGCCCGATTACCTGTCCTCCCTCACTTAAGCTCTCTTATTATCTACAGTAGTGGCCAAAATTGTGGAAACATTTTGGGAGAAGTGTATTTTTGAGGTTTGATGGCTAATAACACCACTTTTTTTTTTGAGTTTCAAGATAATCCTATTCCACTGATGGAATGGCCTGGGAATAGCTCAGACCTTAACCCAATTGAAAATCTATGGAGCCGACTAAAGAAACTTGTTAGTCAGAAGCGACCCAGCAATAAAACCCAGTTAATAGAAGCAATCATTCAATCTTGGTTTCACATTATAATAGCTACAGAACTAAAAGACTTGCTTCACTCCAAGGGAAGATGTTGAAGGCCGTAATTCATGCTAAAGGTTACCCAACTAAGTATTAACTGACGTGATAATTTTTGTATATCTCATTTTTTCTACATGTTTCACTTTTCTTCTTTATACTGTAACTGTTATTCTAATAGCAAATCCTTCCTAAAAGTTATTGCATTATGTTCGTGATTAAATTATCTTTCCATTGATACATAATTTTATAGTAAAGGTAAAGGTTCCCCTCGCACATATGTGCAAGTCGTTCCCGACTCTAGGGGGCAGTGCTCATCTCCGTTTCAAAGCCAAAGAGCCAGCGGTGTCCGAAGACATCTCTGTGGTCATGTGGCCAGCATGACTAAACACCAAAGGCGCAAGGAACGCTGTTACCTTCCCACCAAAGGTGGTCCCTATTTTTCTACTTGCATTTTTTACCTGCTTTTGAACTGCTAGGTTGGCAGAAACTGAGACAAGTAATGGGAGCTTACCCTGTTACGCGGCACTAGGGATTCGAACAGCTGAGCTGCTGACCTTTCGATCGACAAGCTCAGCGTCTTATCCACTAAGCCACCGCGTCCCTTGAATTTTATGGTACCACTCAAAAAAAAAAAAGTGTTATTAGCTAGTTTTAGAAAATACACTTTTCCCAAAAGGTTTCCACAATTTTGGCCACTGCTGTATTTCGCTTGGTCAGAAACAGGAGGAGGAGGTTGACAAGTGTTAGTAGGTAGACTTCCCTCTTTAGCCAGTGTTACTCTGCTACATAAGCTATCTTTTAGCTGGGACATTTTTTTATACATTGGACCATTACACTGCATGCATGAGTCAGTGGGTCACTCATGATATGAATAGATGTGCCTGGTTACTCCTGCAATCCAAGTTCTCAGCAACTAGAGAGAGGAGGCATTTCTGTGTCTGCTGAAAACAACCGGTAGAAGCTGGATAAGATCCAGTTGCTGTTTCATTATCACCGTAGTCGGGCCATGTGACTGGGCTTGTGCCAGAAGATCGAAAACACCGCTTTAATATTAGAGCAGATCATCATGAAGCTCGGAGGCCCCAGGAAGGTTGTACTGCATCACGAGAAGGTGACCTTCAGGAAAGGTTGTTAGTGAGGCATCTCCAAGCTGATCGCAAGGCAGCCATGACAAAGCCTTAATTTTCAAGTCTTCTGATTATTCTTTGTCACCATCCTGACATCTGTTCCTGGTGGTCTCATTATGAAAAGCAAGGTGAATTGAACTCAATCCTGTACTTATTGAGATGGTCCCATAGGTAGAAGAGCCATCAGTTCCTTATGTTGGACAGTTTTAATCCATGTATGCTGTCTTCTAATGCTTGTTTAAGAGCCTCGGTAGCTCAATGGTTAGACCAGGGGTGTCAAACTCAAGGCCCGTGGGCTGGATCCGGTCCATGAGGTGCTTAAATGTGGCCCCTGGGGTTGGCCTGGAAATATCAAAGGACTGGCCTGCGGTGCCTCTGCTGCCAAAATGGGCTGGGGGGGCTGGGTGCAGCCCCTGTGTGGCCCATTTTTGGCCTCCATGGCTTCCTGCAGCACTCTGCCAGCCAAAAACTGGCCTCCTGGGTGCCTCACATTTTTGGCCAGCAGAGTCCTTCTGGAGGCTAGGGAGGCCAAAAACGGGCCACACGGGGGCCTCACAGGGCCTCCACCCAGCCCGTTTTTGGCCAGCAGAGTGGAAAAATTGCATCTTGAGCCTGTGTCAAAATGCCCACCCCCAGCCACCACTTCCCCTGGCCCTCCAAGATCAAACACAATTCTGATGTGGCCCTCAATGAAATCGAGTTTGACACCCCTGGGGTTAGACTGCAGTACTGCAGGCTAACTCACTGCTCACTCCAGGAGTTCAATTCTGACTCAACCTTCCATCCCTCCAAGGTCGGTAAAATGAGGACCCAGATTGTTGGGGGCAATATGTTGATTCTGGAAACCACTTAGAGAGGACTGTAAAGAACTATGAAGCGATATATAAGTCTTAATGCTATTGCTATTATTTTGCTCTCTCGGGAGTGCCAAACGAATTAGTGGTTTAGGGAAATTAATGCTCAAACCTTAATATTGGGAAGTGATTTGTGGGTTCTGTATGATCATTCTTCTTACTATTGCTGGAAGTTGTGTTTGATTTGGAAGTGGCAATGACATACCATAGAAGAATTCACTCTTGTTAAGATGTAGATCTCAGCTAGGATGGTCAATGATTATAATGTCTGAATTTACATACCACAAAAAGCCATATGTTTTAAGCATGGTTTCCTAAATAAGCGATGTAGGGTTGGATTTACACATGCAAAAATATAAATCTTACTTTATAATTCACCATGGTTGGGCCCATGCAATATTCTGTACGAAAGTGAAACAAAAATATGAACGATCTTAACAAAACCACTGATAGTGGGCGCTGAACAGCTATAGTTGAATTATTAGTGAAAGCTCTTCTAGTTGCAATCCATGAGGCCTGTTGTGAATATTGCAAGATTTAAGCCACACCACTTGAATAATTGATACGTAATAGTTTATGGATGAGAGCAAATGGTTAGTTCCTTCAGACAAGACTTTAACATGATTACTTTTTATTTTTTAGAGAATTTCTCTCTGAGGAACGCAACATGGAATTAGTATTGATTAAAGCTTTTCTAGAAATAGACAAAGCATACATGAGACACGCCCACTCATCTGCGGATGGTAAGTACGAAATGTTTCTCTGTTTGTTGGTAACACAAAAACTAAATTTACTCCCGTAGCAGCCAAGTGGTACTAAAGCTGCAGGCTAGCTGTCCCAGGGGAAAAATTGCAACTTGAATATCAAGGATTTGCTATATCAAAATCCACAGTAAATCACGAAATCTACAGGAGTCTGTGGACCACAAAAGATTTTGAGAGAGAAAAATAAAATTTCAAAATTAAGTCGGTACATGCTTTAAGACCGTGTTTTCCCAAAGTTGATTCCAAATATTTATTTGGAAATCACCACTGAGAAGTTTTCAGTGTACACTTCCATTAAGTGAGTAATGCAGTTGTTAAACAAATCTGGCTTTTTCCCATTGATTTTGATTGTCCGAAGCTGGCTGAGAAGGTTGCAGATGGTGATCACATGACTTCAGATACTGCAACTGATGTAAGTACATGCCAGTTGCCAAGTGTCCGAAATTTGATCATGTGACCAGGAGGATGCGGGTTGGTTGCAAGTGTGAGGAGCAGTCATTATAACTTTGAACAGTCGCTAAACAAATTGATGTAAATCAAGGATGGTCTATCTGTACAGTATATAGTACTGTGGGTGTAGGAACAGTTTTTGTTTTGTTTCCTGACATACAGTCATGTGAAAAAAAAAACTACGAGTTCTACGGTTTTACATATCAGGACAGGACATTCTTCAAAAGTTTTTCACACATGGCTTCTTCATTTTGGCTTTCTTTTTGTAAAATAAATGAGGACATAGTATAAAATGTCATGTGTTGTTGTTCATCTGAGGTTGTATGTACCTACTTTTAAGAACTGCTAAAGGACCAGATTGCAGTTCCCAGTTGCAATGTATGGCTGTGAAAGTTGGATCATAAGGAAGGCTGAGCGCCAAAGAATTGAGGCCTTTGAACTATGGTGCTGGAGAAGACTCCTGTGAGTCCTTTGGACTGCTAGGCGATCAAACAGGTCAGTCCTAGAGGAGAGCAACCATGACTGCTCTTTAGAAGGCCAGATCCTGAAAATGAAACTCAAATACTTTGGCCACCTAATGAGAAGGAAGAACTCGCTGGAGAAGAGCCTAATGCTGGGAAAGATTGAGGGCAAAAGAAGAAGGGGATTGCAGAGAATGAGGTGGCTGGATGGAGTCACTGAAGCAGTCGGCGTGAGCTTAAATGGACTCCAGAGGATGGTAGAGGACAGGAAGGCCTGGAGGAATGTTGTCCATGGGGTCGCAATGGGTCGGACAGGACTTCGCACCTAACAACAAGGACCAGATGATTTTTTTTTACTATGTGTAATATGTAAAACTATCAAATTCAAAGGTGTATTTTCTTTTCACATGACTGTAACTGCCACTCTAGAAAGCAAACCTATTTAAGGACCTTAACGTAATTTCATTAAAAAAAAAAGTTGTGTATCCCACCTCTGAAACAATTCCATCTTCAGATGTACGTGTCAGAAGTGATGGACATAATACTAGAAAAACCTTTCAAACTTTGATTGGGCTGGATAACAAAATGGGGGAGGCGGGAAGTGTTAAGATCCCAAGAAGACCAAAAATCTCTATAGAGGAGAGAACTGATCCTTCATTGGTATGTTTGACCTGTTAAGCCTTTGGGAAAGAAAAACTCCTCTCAGCCCACATGTGGATCCTTTACACCAGCCGTCTTCCAATCTGATAGGGTTATACATGCATTATTCTTCAACTCACGTAATTCACAAGAGTATGTTTATTTATTTATTAAATTTATATACCGCCCATCTCGCCATCAAGGTGGCTTAGTAAGCCTTCACATTTGTGAATTATGGGAGTGGGTGAACATCAGTTTGGGGAGGCTGACTTACATTATTGCAAGAAGCAAGTTCTTAACAGAAGCTTTATTACTCCAGCCATTTTTTAGTATTCCCTGCTTTATTATGGGTAGTTAAATGCGCTGTTTCCAAGAATGATGTTTATGATGATTATTACATTAATCTTAAATGGCGAAAGTATAATAGATGAAAATGTTGGGGTTTTCTAGTTAAAGAAGATGTGAGTCAAAGCCATGGTTTTTAAGTTTTAAAATGTTAACCTGCAACATTGAAGAAGGGAGAGAGCTGCAGAAAACTATCTTTAAATTATCATTTGGTATATTTTATTAAAATCAAATTTTCTAATTCTTTTTAATGAGGTTGTAATTAAATTTGAAGTGATTTGTATTTGTAGGACTGTCAGGTTGTCACTTAACTTTTAATTCCATTGGAGTACAGTAATTATTTTGCTCTTTAAAAAGATGCTATATTGTATAAATGGCAGAATCTTTTTATAGTGAAGTTAAGCACAGGCCTGAAGGATTCTACCCAGCTGAAAGTTACAAGACACACAGAAATCGGATATTTGTGTCTGAACACAGTTGTAATTCTTAACACATATTCAATTGCACATTTATGTCTTATTTGGTGATTTCTTATCCCAGTATTCTGAAATCTCAAAGCAAAACCTCTTAAGGTACATAAAAGTGCTCACGTATTAAAAATAAAATGTTTGCTTTTAAAAGTCTTTTGAGTACCTTAACATTTCAAATTATCACTGTTTAGCAGTAGTGAACACTGAACTCAATTGATGAGATTGCTTGGGGGAAATTAATATGTAGGAAAGAAAATTCAAAATGATAACATTTCCCCCTTTTTGTTTCCATAGCTGCTTTGAAGAGTGTTTGAATTCAGTGCCTCTTTTGCAGCTCTCTTCCTTCCAGCTGTTGCAGGTTTTCTGAATTGATTTGAAAGCACAATTCCTGGGTGAATTTTTCCTATTTGCCTCTATGTGTACATGTGATTTATGGCAGACACGGTATCCGACCAACAGCTCTAGAATTGGAGACCCGGGACTCTATATGCTGGGCTCCAGTGGAAAGAGAGATCTACTTATGGTGGTCCCAGGTGAAGGAGTCCGGTGGGTTCCTAGCCTGGACTGCTGGAAGGTTCCCACATCCACTTTGTCCCATTAGTTGAGATGACATGCTCTAAAAAATGTCCAGTGAGTGCAAAGATACCTATTGAAAGATATTTTTTTTAGATAATATATGGATGCTGTTTGGGAAACCACCAATGTCATATTTATGCTTTTCAAGTTAAATCAAGCTGTGTAAGTGAGCTTTTTAAAAATGCACTTGGAGATAAGCACAAGTGATTTTGATTCATGATATGATTCCTTGATTTTGGAACTCTGTTGCTGATTAGATCTTCTCCTTCCTGCTGCGTTTCTTTTCACACCAGTAGAACTTGTAGCCTGTGAAGACTTCTTTAAGCCTCACCTGAAGTGGACCTAAATTTCCTTGTTATAATCACCATCCTTAACTTGATGCTTTCCATGGGTGTTATTAATATTCTTTAATATGCTATCCATATTAAAGAAGTCTTACAAGTCTCAAATCTTATAGGGCAAAGAGATTTCCAGTTAATGAAACTAGAAATTAAGGACATAGGATTGGCATTCATTTCGTAGGTACATATGAAACGCCTATGGAGATTTCTCAGTCATCCAGGTTGTCCCAAAGGTGCTTTTCAAAAGGCAACTGGACTTTCTTAAGTTTTTTTCCCTTGAAAATGTTTCGCTTCTCATCCAAGAAGCTGCTTCAGTTTTCAAAGGAAAAAACCCCCAAGAAAGTCCAGTTGCCTTTTGAAAAGCCACTTTCATACATATGAAGTAGGACAGGGGTGAAATGTTCCCGGTTTGGACTGGCTCGGGCGAGTAGGTAGCGATGGCGGCGGGCAGTTCGGAGAACCGGTAGCAAAAATCCCTGCCCCCGCCCCCCATGCCCAGCTGAGCCGCGCGATCATCAGAGCCTTTTTTTTCTTTTAAATGGCTGTGACGATCCAAGCTCTGACGATCCCAGCTGAGTTGCCTGGTTGACAGGCAACTCAGCTGGGATCGTCAGAGCCTTTTGAAAGCATTTTTTTACATGGTTTTACATGTAAAAAATGGTTTTAAAAGTAAAAAAAAAAAAATTAGCCACGCCCACCCAGTCACATTACACCCCCCCCACCAAGCCACGCCCACAGAACCGGTAGTAACAAATTTTAGATTTCACCCCTGAAGTAGGAAATTTTCCTTTTCCTTTTTTTTTTTTTTTACCCTGTAAGAACTTGTCATTTGAAAACAACCCAGCTGATCTTAAATATTATCTGAAACAAATCTGATAAAAGGAGCAGAGTTAGTTTCACCGGAAAAAGCCTTAGCTAACCCTGATAACGACGGGGTGTGATCTGTGGATGTGTTAGCTCCATGAGTAGCTCCTACAGGTCTCTAAAAATAGTATACTTAGACTGACCCAACACATTTTGTACTAACCTATAGTTTACTTTCTGAAGCTTTCACATATTGGCTGGATTCTCATAACATTACACCAGTGTTTATATTTGCTTAGTATGTTTTGTATACCTGTACAATTTAGCTGTTTTGTAAACTATGGCTTAAGGCTGTTAAACTGTTGTGTGAACACAGCCAATTAATGGCTAATCTAACAATTTTGCGTCGTGTGTAAACCTACTGACAGTTGTGCAATTTCTTAACGCTGTTGCATTGGCAACCTCAAAGAGGAGGAAATATTGAATTCATAGTGTTAATCTGAAGAGCAATTGAAGCATCATGATTTAGTGACGTGCATGAATGCAGCCAGAGAATTAACCCTGATCCAAGAATGATTACTTTTTAATTGCCATTGATAGAGTCAGTATGAAGCATTATCCTGGCCCTGAAAAATATGTGTTTTTCATGGCAGAATCATTATATCTGCCATTTTCTTCTCTACTGCTTTAAATGGAAGACCTTCGGATCTCCCACGCAGTCTGAAACATATGAAAAAAATAAGCCCATTAATTTGCTATGTCCAGCAGTTAGACTGACCTTCCTCTAACCCAGTGCCCTTCAGAAATGTTGGACTACTATTCTGGAGTCGTGGGGGTGCAGTGGTTAGAATGCAGTATTGCAGGCTGACTGCCCATTGCCAGGAGTTCGATCCTGACCAGCTCAAGATTGATTCAGCCTGGCATCCTTCCGAGGTGGGTAAAATAAGGACCCAGATTGTTGGGGACAATATGCTGACTCTCTACATAGCTTAGAGAGTGCTGTAAAGCACTGTGAAGCGGTATACATAAGTCTTAAGTGCCATTGCTATTCTGATCATTCCTAGCTAGGCTGCGCTTGCAGGAGTTGGTAGTTCAACATATCTGGGGAGTTACTGATTTATACCTTGGAACAAAAGGATTCTATTGTTGGAAGCAGCATTTCCAAAAGCAAGGAATCGACTGGGGAGATTGTTGGTGGTCTTGAGACTTAGCCTTTAAGCATTGAAGGGGATTGAAAGGAAGAAAGCAACTGTCTTCTCATAGTGTTTTACTCGCTGATTAAAACAGGTATTTTACGGAGAGCACAAAAAGGTTCAAATTGCCTGTCTCAAAGTTCTGTTTTTCCCATTTCTTATCTTAACTCACTTTATTTTAAGCACTCCAAGTAGATTGCCCATAAAGCATATTAATTCTCTGCATTTCACAATAACGAAACATTGAAATCATAAGCATACTTTTTTGCTGATAAGATTTGGTTGGTGGGCTGCCTAATGCATTGCTAAAGATGCGTTCTTAGAGTCAAACATGTGCTGTAAAAATAATCAGGACATTTGACTTTTATTAATACATGGCCTGCATAAAAGGAGTGGAGGAAGAAAACTTACCTCTCTGGAAATTGTCATTCTTACATAAAACTCAAGGACAGTATCGAAGAACTATTTAAAATACCTGTTTTAAATAGTAGTAGTAGTAGAGTTCTAGGAATGTATCTCAATTTTCTTTCCCTTTTTGTTTCTTGAGTCTATGGAGTTTGCATAGCACAACAAGGCTTCATGCATATTTTTTTAATCTGTCCAGGATGTATTGAATCTGTTTGGAATATACAGCCCTTTCAAATAACCAGGGACCGAGTATCTTGTTATTTCTCCCCACCCCATTTAAATTCTACATCGGGTTTGTCATTTGAATAGCACTTGGTAACCCATTGGTAAGCAGTAAACAATTCGGCAATTACTATTCTGCCAGAGTGGCTTTCCTTTCACCCAGCTGCCTTCTGGACCAGCTGTAGTTTTTCAAGCAGTTTTCAGAAGCAGTCCCAAGTATAGTATTCTAAAAGGTAAAAGATTCCCCTCGCACATATGTGCTAGTCATTCCCGACTCTAGGGGGCGGTGCTCATCTCCGTTTCAAAGCCAAAGAGCCAGCGCTGTCTGAAGACGTCTCCATGGTCATGTGGCTGGCATGACTAAACGCCAAAGGCAGGGAATGCTGTTACCTTCCCACCAAAGGTGGTCCCTATTTTTCTACTTGCATTTTTTTTAACCTGCTTTTGAACTGCTAGATTGGCAGAAGCTGGGACAAGTAACGGGAGCTCACCCCGTTATGCGGCACTAGGGATTTGAACCGCTGAACTGTCGACCTTTCGATCGACAAGCTCAGCGTCTTAGCCACTGAGCCACCGCAGTCTAAAAGCATCAATCACTCTTGCCAAGGCTCGGTGTTCCAAAAAGAGCCACAACTAAGTTGATAAAATCTTGGCCATTCCTTCTACTGGTCAAGCGGTAGCCCTGAAGGACCCTCTCTGAATCTCAGACTTGCTTTTCCAGGGAAAGTTTAACCCTATCCAGAGTCAATAAAAGACTAAAAAATGGCTTGGAAGTCTCTGGGGTTCATATATGCCCTAGAGCAGGGGTCTCCAACCTTGGCAACTCTAAGACTTGTGGACTTCAACTCCCAGAGCTGGCTGAAGAACTCTGGGAATTGAAGCCCACAAGTCTTAAAGTTGCCAAGGTTGGAGACCTCTGCCCTAGAACCCCAGATTGTCTCTTCCTGTCTTGTAAGAATCAAGGATTCTTATATAGGATGTATAGAGAGAGTGGGTGGGGAATTATGCTCTATAACTTAACATTCAACTTACATTGAAGAGCTATGGTGGTGCAGTGGTTAGAATGCAGTATTGCAGGCTAGCTCTGCGCACACACCAGGAGTTCGATCCTGACCGGCTCGAGGTTGATTCAGCCTTCCTTCCATCCTTCTGAGATTGGCAAAAGGAGGATCCAGATTGTTGGGGGGACAATATGCTGACATTTGTAAACCACTCAGAGAGTGCTGTGAAGCACTGTGGAGCGGTATATAAGTCTAAATCAGGGGTGAAATCCAGTAAGTTCTGACAGGTTCTGGAGAACCGGTAGTGGAAATTTTGAGTAGTTCGGAGAACCGGCAAATACTGCCTCTGGCTGGCCCCAGAGTGGGGTGGGAATGGAGATTTTGCAGTCTCCTTCCCCTGGAGTGGGGTGGGAATGGAGATTTTGCCGTATCCTTCTGCCACGTCCACCAAGCCACACCATGTCCACCAAGCCACGCCCACAGAACCGGTAGTAAAAAAAATTGGATTTCACCACTGGTCTAAATGCTACTACTGTTGGTACATTTTAGTATCTTGTGGTCTTGTTAGCTAATAACCCCCTCCCTCTTTCATGAAGCCATGTTGTGTTTCTCTTTGCTCCTTCCATCTTTTCATGTCTTCAGAGCTTTAAATATTTTTAAGCGGCGGCTCCTTAGTGGAGTTAGCACAATCCATGCCATTTAAAGCTGAAGAAACTATGCCGTAGGCAAGTTTGGGGCTCAGGTGCTGATTACCTCTCTCTCTGTGACATTTATAGCTACCTTGCTGAATACTGGGACCACAGCAACGGTGGCTCTGCTGCGAGATGGCATTGAGCTGGTGGTAGCCAGCGTGGGCGATAGCCGTGCGCTGTTGTGCCGCAAAGGAAAAGCCGAGAAACTGACCATCGATCACACTCCAGAACGGAAGGACGAGAAGGAAAGGTACCTCTGCAAAATATGTCATTTTAGGCTGAGTTTTTCTCCCCCCAATTTTAAAGAGATGTCTTTTGAAGTTGTAGAAATGGGATGACTTGCCAGAATTCTTCAAGTAAATATTATTGTGTGAATTGTTTGTAGAAACATAACATGCACGATGGTAACTGTTATTTTATATTTTTTCTTTTTAAGAATCAGAAAATGTGGTGGTTTCGTTGCCTGGAACAGTTTGGGGCAACCCCATGTAAATGGCAGACTTGCGATGAGCCGTAGTATTGGAGATTTGGATCTCAAGAAATACGGTGTGATTGCAGAACCTGAAACTAAACGGGTGCAGGTAAGCAGTTGTGTAGTATGCCTTCTCTCGCAGGTCTTATTGAAAGCTTATGTCAGGTTTCAATGCTATCTCAAAATAAATGAGCTTCCAAACTGCCGATCTTTAAGGAAATTTTCTCTTTATTTGAGCACAGCAATCTGATCCTGACTCTTTTCGCGGTCAGTACTGACCTTTGCCCCCCAATCCCTCCCTTTCCGATCCCCAATTCTCTGCTTCTCATTGGCTATCTTCCAAGTCACTTTCCTGATTTTTTCTTCGTCAGGTCACAGGAATGTCTCCCCCCTTCCCATCTCCGAGGAGACCGAATCTTCAAAGGGATTTAGCAGGCAAAAGTTCGGGCTTCTCCTCCCTTTTCTGTCAGTTCTGAGACGCTGACAGCTTATTTGGTACAAACACAGTAGTTGTATGCAACTTGTATGCAACAAGTTGATGCAGGGGTGGGCTTCAAATATTTTAGCAAAGGGTTCTCTGCTGGTTGCTGGGTGGGTGTGACCATGGTGGACGTGGCCTATTCAGCTTCCTGCACCGTGGGGGGGGGCGTGTTTTTGCCCTCCCCAGGCTCCGGAGGCTTTCCTCTAGCCTCTGGGAGGGCGAAAATGGCCTCCCCAGGCTCCGGAGGCTCTCTGGAGACTGGAAACCTCTGGTAGGCCCGTTTTTCACCCTCCCTGAGCCTCCACATGCACCATGCACTTACCTGCATCCAAAACGGGCCACATGAGGACTCCATGGAGGGGAGGGGTGGGCGGGGCCAGCCAGGAGTGGGATTTGGGAGTTTTCTGAACTGCACAGAATCTTAGCTAGAGGTTCTCCCGAACCCCTGCGAATCCCCAGCAGCCCATCCCTGGTTGTGTGGGATGTCTGGTTGTGACATCCTTGTTTTAGGCAGAACTGAGCAAGTTCATGCTCATATCCTGGACTGAGAATTTTATTTATATTTGAACTTCATTGCCTCATTGTATAGTGATAACATCACTCACCTCAAAAGGAGAATAACACAGTGGACAGTCCATCATGCGTATGGTGTCCCTAGTGATGTGTGCATGCAATATGGATCTACGTATAGACCACCCTGCAGAATTCAGAAACTTATCTTTTCTTAAATCAGGAATAGGCAAATATTTTTCATCTGAAAGGTGTTCCTAATAATAAAAATAATAGATCTCCAACAGGTATAGGGTATGAGGTCCATGTTCTGTCCCCAACCACACGCACACACACCAACAGACGTTCAAGAGTTAAAGACCAAACCAGCCGGCAAAATCCTTTTCCTTATGATAACGGAACTTGGCAACAACCTAGTGGCTGCCTGCCAAGAATTTAATATTTACAAAGAGGAGAGAAAACTTCTCCCCACTTCTGATACATCAAAAGAAACAGCTCAATAATTACGGAGTCAATCAAGTCCAGAGATAATCCAGTAAAGTCTATAGCCAAGTGGAGCGCAGGGGGGTCACACACATGCGTGCCCACACCCATAATTCTATGCGCCCCAGTCCCCGCACATGCACGCGTGACACCCCCCCCCTGCGTTCCCCCCGCTTTTGGCACGTAATGGTACAGTGGGCCTGGTAGACCCGTTTTTCACTCTTCCCCAGGCTCCAAAGCCTTTCTAGGAGCCTGGGCAGGGCGAAAAGAGCCTCCCCTCCCCCCCCGAGGCACTCCAGAGGCTGAAAATGGCCCTTTTGCTGACTGGTGGGCCCAGAAGTCCTGAAAATCAGTGCGCCGGAGCTGAGCTTGCGTGCCCACCGATATGGCTCCGCGTGAGGTTTGCCATCACAGCTCTAATTCCATGATCCCCAACTCCCGGATCACGACCCAGTGCCAGGCTGCCGCTCACTCAGAACCGGGACGTGGAAGTGGTGGGCGAGCTTGTAAAGCATTTACAAATGCTGCATTTGTAAAAGCTGCTTGCATGCGCGCATGAAACCATCCCACATCTCTTCTCTGCCTCTGGCCAAACTGGGAAAGTTGGAGACCGTTGCTCTAATTTATATATTTTTGCATCCAACCTTATCTGATGTGTGCTATTTTGGAACTGGGAAGTGTGCCAACTAAAATAGGTGTTCCTATTTTTAGTTTAGGAAGAGCCAGTTAGGTCAGTTTGCATAAAAATAGAATCCAAACAAGTTTTTTTTTCATTATTAATCTCCATGTAGCAGTTTCTACTAGAGCAGGGGTGTCCAACTCTCGTCGTCATGTCGTCACGTGATTCGCCCCCCCCCCCCTTGCTAAACTGGGCGTGGCCACTGTGTGATGCATTTGGCCCGTGGGTTGTGAGTTTGACAGCCCTGTACTAGAGCATCTTAAGTCTAGATAATTTGTATATTCTTTGTGTTGCTTTAGTTGCATCATACAAGCGACAGCTTCTTGGTCCTGACCACAGATGGCATCAATTTTATGGTAAACAGCCAAGAGATTTGTGATTTTGTTAACCAGTGTCATGATCCAACCGAAGCAGCTCGCATCATCACTGAACAGGTTGGTATTTCTGCCTTGGGAACAGTGGTTACTGGCCAACTTTCAGCTAACGGTACCTGCATTTCTAGGACACCATGGATGATTCCAGTGGAAGAGAATATCAGTAGCTGAAAGAGGAACTGTGATGTTTTTGGTGCTCTCTCAGCTTAGTTGTTTGCTTGCAGACATTTCATTACCCAGCTAGGTAAAATCATCAGGGCACCGGTGATGCTCCCACTGGTGTTGCCTAGTCTAGATAGTCCTTGGCCTAGGACCATAACGGTGCCTGCCCTTTACAGTGGTGATGGTCATAATAAAGCCATGTAAGTGACTCAATTTTATAACCTTTTTTGTGGTGATCGTTTAGTGAATGCAGTGTCGTAGAGTGAATGCCACAGTAGTTAAGCAAGTGTTGCCCTTGTGAAGCAAGAGACACTTTTGCTGAAAATGGGAAGTAAATGCTGGCTTTTGGGAAAACTGTCGCAGTCATGCAACTCTGCAAATGGCTGAAAATGCTGGCTGGTTGCTAGGCAACCAAAATGCAATCATGTGACGGGCGGTGTGGGGGGAGAGAGGTTAAAACTTTGGAACTGGGTCATAATTACCGTTGGGTGGGATCTGTTGCTAGGCAACTGGTCATAGAAGTCAAGGACTATCTCTAATAAAATGTCTGCAACAAGTAACCAAGCTTGGAGAGCATCCTTAAATTCCACAATTTAAGGATGAAGTATCCTCTTGTAAACTTTTACAGCTGATGCAATCAGAAAAGCCTGTTTTGTTTTCATGTCTCCGAAGGGGGTGGTAATAATTCTAAAACAACATGGATAGCTTGCCATCTGGCACTCTAGTATGATTTTAGAAGTTACAATTACAGGACAGTGTAAGGCAGAGGTGTCAAACTCAAGGCTTGCGGGCTGGATCTGACCCACAGGGTGCTTAGATCTGGCCCGCGGGGCTGCCTTGAAAACAGAGAAGGACCGGCCCACGGTGTCTCTGCCAGTGAAAACGAAGCTCGGGAGGACCATGTGCGGTCCTCTCGAGCTCATTATAACTGGCAGAGGTTGCAGGAGACCGTCGCAGCCGAAAATGGAACTTGGGAGCCTGTTTTTGCTGGCTGAGCACTCGGGACACCATAGATGCCCCCGGCACAAGTGACATCGAACTGACCATGCCCCCCCATCCTCCCCAAGGTCAAACACAACCCTGATGCGGCCCTCAATGAAATTGAGTTTGACACCCCTGGTCTAAGGCCAATCGTGGGATATGTACAGCTCCCCCAGCATCCATCCATCCTTCCTTCCTCCCTCCCTCCCTCCCTCCCTCCCTGTTAGAAACCATGATGTTTTCACCAAAATTGGAGGGCTTAAGCAGGACAGAATTTCCACTCTTGTGCTCCCACCCAAAAGTTTGAAAAAGGCCCCCAAATTAATCCTTGTTTCTTTTGTTAATGTCGTCATCCTTTCAGTTAGCACCTGGGGCGCTTCAGCATGATTGGGTAAGGAAAGGGGCAGGAAAAATTGCTTGTCCTTTGGACTGTGGGGAATCCTCACTCCTGGATAATAACTGTTTCCATAAGATACCCACAGAAACAGTTTGGTTTTAGAAACAGAAAAAAAGTTTTCCTTCTCTTTATAGAGGGTGACTTGATAGGAAAATGTTCCATTAGATTTTATTTAGAGGTTACTAAAAAGACTCCCTGATATGGTTTAATATTTTTGCTGGTCCCCTGCTTAGTTTATCTTTGCTTTTCTGTGAGAGCTGGAACATTCTCCCCATCAAAGCAATGAGCTGTCCCCATATATTATTTTTATTTATCCTATTGAGGCCAAGCTGGGCCTCCAGGAATTCTTATAAATGAACATGATAATAAAGTTCAATATCTCTTCTCTTTATCAATAGAAGAGAATATTTGTAGCTCAGGGTTGAACTGTGGAGTCCTTGGGGCTCTCTGAAGCTGGTTGTTTCCAGGCAGACATTTCATTACCCAGCTAGGTAACATCATCAGGGGTCTGATGATATTGCTTAGTAGGATTATGAAACGTCTGCATTCAAGTACAATCAGGCTCAGAGAGCACCAAGGACCCCAAAGTTCATGTTTGTTCTATAGAGTGACAACTTCCCATTTCCCACCCTTTAAAATATCCTTTAAATATTTTATTTGGGGCTGGAATTAGAATGACTACCATGGTTGTCAGATTGTCTCAACACTGCAACTGAGATTGTTTGAAGATTGGTGATTGAGAGTGAAACTAAAACTTCTGCCTTTCTCATTGTTCTACAAGGCTATGCAGTACGGGACAGAAGATAACGGCACCGCTATTGTAGTGCCCTTTGGAGCATGGGGCAAATACAAAAACTCCGAGATCAATTTTTCCTTCAGCCGGGGTTTTGGTTCAAGTGGACGCTGGGCGTGAGCATCTTCTGCACCAAGCTGCTGAACGTTTAAAGATGTAGATTGCAGAAAGGTGATATGTAGGTTAAAAAAAAAAATCCCTCCATCTCTTCTAGCAAAATGCCCTTTCTGCTTGGGTAGCAAACTGCTGTTAACTTGATGTCACCTCTTAACAAATGTCTTTGTTACTAGCTTCTCTCAAACCGAGCATTCTCACACTTTTGGTCCTTCCTTGTGGACGTCTGCAGGGGCAAGAAAGATGCTGATATTTTTGTGGCTGACTGTCATTGTGGTATCACCTGTTTCTCCTGATGTTCTGGAGATGTTTTAGAGAAATGAAGGAATGTGGCAGATGCAAGCAGACTGCACAGCACTGCAGTTGAGGAACCAAAGGCCAAGAAAAATAGCATTTTATCTCCTTCGCTATTCCATCCTGTGTAAAAGGAAATTCAAAGACTACTAGAAGGGTGGAGAGTTGGAGAGGTGGGTTTAATTGATAGTTCACCATCACTGTCAGATTGGGGGTTAGAATAGTTCAACTCTTAAAAAGCAGCACTTTGGTCTCAGGACTGATAAGCCTCAGGATTGTGGAGCCCAAAGGCAGAGATATAACTGTGTACTTCCTGTACTGATGTCCCCTTTCTTTGAAAAGCAGAGAGAGAGAGAGTTGTACACTTGGTTAAATATCTGCATTTTGTGTAATGTATGACTCGAGATGCACTATAGCTCTTGAAACAGTACTAACCACGATATGCTGTGTTAGTACGCGTTCTCAAAAATATCAAATGAATTCTGTTTTTTTTCTTCTTCTTTCTTTAAAGGGGCCAGTGCTAAAACCCCTCCTTTAAAAAAAAAAAAGTTCCACATTGGCTACTCTTAAATTCCTTTTCTAAGTATTCATGCACAGCTTTTAATGCAATGAATTTTGGTGATGAGATTATTTTAGTTTGTTTCACAGTTGAAAAAGAAGATGACGTAAACCCACTCGGTTTTCTAGGTTCTGGCTATTTGAAAGAACATCGTCTAAAAAAGTCTGCTTAGAATCGTCCCCAACTTTTATCTAAAGTAAACATTGGAGGGAACTGAAAGTTTCAGAGAGGCTAAATAATATGTTTTCAAAAGATTCTATCCTTTCACATTTTAAAATCCAGCTGTGAAAGAGAACAAATCCATCAAGGCTACAGTAATTGAAATAAAAGCAAGGTTAATTTCATGGCCCAGACGTCTTTCAATTCCCCTGGGCAGCCTTCTCCAACTTTCTGCCCTTTTGATGCTGGGCGCTGATTACGCCCATCTGATTGGGAATTTCAAGTGTTTTATTATCCACCTGAGAACATCAGGTGGAAAAGAGAGCAGAAGTACTGGTGCTAACATCTATATTTCTAAATCTGAAGTTGTTTGTCTCAACGGTGAGATCTCATGACAGTGCCGAAATATCACGCATTCTTTGCCGAGTAAGAGAACTGCAGCCTCGTGAGATTTGATGATCTTAGAAGCTTCCAGCCTTTGGGGTGGAAAAACCCAATGACTCTTCAAAACACCCCTCATTTAGGCCAGTGCCACCAACATATGTTGTGAGTGTTATGTTACTGGTGGATACTGAATTTCCAGTCCCTATTAATATGTTTGTACGCACAAGGTGTGAGAAAGCTGGAGGCCTCCTGAGTCATAGATATCCTTGAGAGAGCAAATGAGGAAACCTTTGTCATGACCTCATCAGACGAATGTGATTGGCATCAATCCGGGGACAGATACAAATTACATAACGTTGTAGGATGGTGTCATGATGATGCACTTCATAATGTTATTGTGACTTCTGATGGATGCCTATGGCTACAATATAAACATTGGGAGCATTTCCTTGGACTAAAAGGGAAATAAATGTTAAATATATAATGCAATATTCGTCTTCCCCTGCATAGAGTTACTTCACATGTAGGAATAATAGCGCTGAGCCATTTAGTTGAACCCTGGTCACAATGTGAACGATGGACTTTACACAACTGCACATCTAAGCCTGTAGCACCGAAAACCACTTTGGTGTCAATCATTCCGACGCTGCCTCTTTACATTTGCCTGTTCATAACGGATCCTTTGAACTTGTGAAAGACTTTGCAGACAGCACCCCGGTGTTGTTCTGTTTTTGTCTGCTGTAAATTTTTATTTGTATTCTATATGCACAGTTTCTATAATATGATTATATAGACTTTAACGGTTAAGTTTACTTTTATCAGTTGCTATCATTTAAGACACTAAAGTGGTGTGTATTGATGTTAAAAACATTTTGTTCTTCCTGGGATTATTATTTTTTTTTAAAAAGGGCTTTTGTTTTGTTCTTGTTCGCTATAATAAAAACACCATCTCTTCCGTGGGCTAAATCAGAATTATCACCATTATATAATATAAATATATGACGCAAATATACTTCCAGGAAAAGGAGCAGTTTTGGCCATGATTCAGCTTTTTTCTCTTAGGAAAAAAAAACACTCAATAGCAGCAGCTCATAAAAGAAAAGGAAGCTAATAATTACTGAATGCAGGGAAAGATAATATGTTTTTCCCTTTACTATGGCCCTATCCCCACAAAGCACATGCCATTTTCAAAAAAATGGAATTTTCCTCTAGAGCTCTAATCTTAGTTATCCTATCCTAGATACCCATTCCTTCAGCTGACATGGCTGGCAAATTTTTTTAAAGTTACAGCAATAAACACAAGGACATGTAGATTATTTCCTTTGGCACTCATAAATCTAGAAATAAAGGGAATCTCAGTCAGGAAATTCATAAATCTAATCTTAATATATTTTTTAAAGGCACAATTATTAAAAGGCAATATGTATTGTATAGGGTAAATCTGAAATTGACTGGTTAGGAAAAAAAATTGTAAAACTTTCAAAGAAATCATTTTAGGTTGTGACTGAAAGCATCAAGGCTTTCTAATCTAATTTCAGCCCTTTTTAGCTACAAGAAATCCAGGTTTGGAAGATGCAATTGTTTGCTTCCTGTTGTCGATTGCAAAAGAGGTTTATCAAACACCTGGGTTACGGGAATAGTTGCCCCCATCCTGCTTAGAATATCACAAGGTTGAAGACATTTATTATCCTGCATCCCTTATTGATCTAGTGATAGTTCAGTAGACATAGAATTGAACTCAGTTGCCATTTCCTTTGTAACCAGGAGAAACTGGATGGTGGTATATAGATTTACCTGTGGTTTACCTGTGTAGTCAGTGTGCTATCACCGGTTCATTCAAGGTGTGTTTTGTATCAGATGGCTGAGTGAAAGTTGCCCTATGTTTTCATATTCTTCAGTTCCAGCATATTTAAACTGCATAAGCATACATTTGGGAAAGGAAATAAGCAAACCAGCTGGGATTTAGGAAAGGAAGTTGAGGTGTGTTTTGACACACCGTTTATTGATCCCAAACAATAGGTAAATTTTCTCACCACATTGAATGTACTGCAGGGAAAGTTTCCCAAGGTTATGAAGCTGCAGTGCCTCCTGCACAGGAGGAAACAAATAATGGTTAAGAAAAGATTACTATTCCTGAATATCTAGAAAGGTTTGGCAAACTGGCACATCAAAATTAATTAAAAAAAAAAATCTAAAGTGTGCTTCTATAAAATCACTATGCATTTCTGTTTTAGAAAGCATGTCAAAAATGTACCCTCGGCAATCCAGATTTCCTGGGGGAGGCGTTGAAATTTATGGTGTAAGATATGTGTTGGCCTTAGCTGCTGTATTTCTGTAGGATGTAAGACGGGAAATGATTGTGGTGAAAGTTGCACAAATGTTTATGAGACTATACTTATTTCTTAAGGCTTATTTATTCTTTTGTTGGTACAATATGCTTCCTTTCGGTTTTATTTCCAATGTTGCAGTGCGTGTTCTTGTATGCGTCACCCCCTGGAAGCAATTTCCAAAGGAGCTGCACAGGCCTTGCAAAAGATAGGACTGTTTTAATGATGCAAAAAAAAAGATAGGACTGTTTTAATGATGCATTAGTTTATGTCCTCTTGCATGGCACTGTATCTCTTGGTTGCTTTTCATCACCATTTATTGTTTGGGTTGAAGGCAAGACTGTCCAAAATATCGGGTATTGTGATAAAATATGTACATATTTTGAACGAGTGTAAAGATGACTGGCTTGTTATGTCATTTTCACTGGTTTATTTTACAACTGTATATTTGTCATGGAGCAAATGGAAGACTGAAAACATTTGAAATAAAAGAGCCTGCTCCCTAGTGCTTCCTGCCTTCTTTTTCTTTTCTCTTCAGCTGCATAGTTTTTCATATTTATTTATCATATGTAGACGATGTCCATCTTCCTATCCAAGAACTTAATCCAATGCAATGTTGCCCAAATCTAGCATTCCCCAGATATTCCCAGCCAGTATTGATTGGGGATGGGAAAGTAGAAGCGGTATGTAACCCAAGAGGGTTATAAGCGATTTACAGAGTCAGCATATTGCCCCCAACAATCTGGATCCTTATTTTACCGATCTTGGAAGGATGGAAGGCTGAGTCAACGTTGAGCCGGTGAGAATCGAACTGCTGGCAGTGGAATGCAGAGTTAGCCTGCAGTAGCAATAGCACTTAGACTTATATACTGCTTTACAGTGCTTTACAGCCCTCTCTAAGCAGTTTACAGAGTCAGTATATTGCCCCCAACAATTAGGGCCCTCATTTTACCCACCTCGGAAGGATGGAAGTTAACCTTTGAGCCTGGTGAGATTCAAACTGCCAAATTGCAGGCAGTCAGCCAGCAGGAGTAGCCTGCAGTACTGCATTCTAACCACTGCGCCACTCAGCACATCTGAGATTTATTGCCCTGCTGGGTGGGAATTTAAAGCAGGATTTTCAACTTGCTTTGTCAAGGGAGAAGGATGTAATTTTACGGACTGTGTGCTTTCTATACAGAGGTTAATTGGATCTCCAATTAAAAAGATCTCAATGGTTTGTTATTCCCAGTCTGCATAGACAGTGCTGGGTTTGGTAGGCAAATAATATGACTTGTTATATTGGGTCTGCCTTAGGAATGTTCACATGCTACTTTATTAACCTAACTGACAAACCACAATGGTTAAGTTTACACAACACACCAAACCCAAGCAAAACAAATTACATTATGTTGTGAACTAGGTTCTTGTATTCCATTCATAAAATCAAAGATTGGAAGGACGACTCCAAATGAAGCCATCCACGAATGAGACACCATCCATCTCCCTTATATTAGAAGACATCCTTGAAAGGGAAGCTCAGTGATAGCATGGTATTACCCTCTCTTCAAGCAGATCTATTTCATGTCACTATTTTTAACGCAGAAAATGTACGCCTCAAAATGTTGAACGACAAAGGCAGCTCTGTCTACATGTTTGCTTGCAATATATACAATGGAGAAATAGCTTAACAGTAGTTACAAAAATCCGGCCATGTGAATTAATGAAGTGGAAGATGTTGGCACGAGATAGGAGTGGCACACATTACGTCAAATAGCTCAGGCAATGCAAAATTGGATTCTCTCCATGGCAAACTTTGAGAGAAATCAACCATGTTAGATGAGATTTAGCGAGCAGTCAGAAGGGCCTGTCAAATTAATTAGTAATTGAAGTAGCATGCCACTTTAACCCAAATTTGGAGAGTGAAACTAAATAGGCTAAACTGAACTGCTAAATTCAGGTTCTTGGATTTATAGCCAAGATACGCCCTTTTTAGTGACAGGTACTCTGACCCAGATATAAAACTCAAAATAGCTTTTGAAATGCTGGCCAAGGCTGACTGACACATGTGGAGAAGCACCTGCCCATCTTGTTACACAAATGTATACACAATAGTGTATGATGAAGGAATGCTCAGCTTTGCCAGGGAAGATGAAGCATTGTTTCTTCCATTGACTGGAACTGGAAAAAAGCTTTTATTTTCTACATATATATAAAAGCCAAATAACACTCACTCATCACAAAATCTCCAGAACGATAAAGCCTACAAACTTGAAATTTGGCACATATGTTCCTGTCGGCTTCTAGGTGCTCGCTAAGAAAGGATTTTTAGAAATGACCATCAGATCATGAGTATTTCATATACAGTATTATATTCAGACGCTCCGATGCTAAGGAGTTAGATGTTCTACTCCCTTCCCCACCTGAAAAGGACTCTGTTCCAGCTGCCAGTTGTCTTATATTAACACGCTCTGATGCTACCACTTCACTAAACCGGGCGTGGCCAGTGTGTGACTCATCCAGCCTGCGGGCTGGGACATTCTACTCCCCCTCCCCCTCCGTTCCAACTGCCAGTTGCCTTATATTAACACACACTGATGCTACAGAGTTAAACATTCTACATTAAGTTTCAGACTTTTAAGTGTCAGTTTATCACGCCCAATCACATACTTTTGTAATGAAGCACGGGTGTCCAGCTAGTATATATAATTATTTTATATATTGTTTGGTTCTGCAACCCAACAATACAGACACAGACTTCAGTGGACAATTAAAACAATGGCTACCAACCTGCCTTCCATTGAGGACCTGTATACTGCACGAGTCAAAAAGAGGGCTATGAAAGTATCTACAGACCCCTCGCATCCTGAACATAAATTGTTTCAACTCCTACCCTCAAAACGACGCTATAGAGCACTGCACACCAAGACAACTAGACACAAGGACAGTTTTTTCCCGAACGCCATCACTCTGCTAAACAAATAATTCCCTCAACACTGTCAAACTATTTACAAGTCTGCACTACTATTAATCTTCTCATTGTTCCACCCATCTCCTTCCACTTATGACTGTATGACTGTAATTTTGTTGCTTATATCCTTATGATTTATATTGACTGTTTCCTAATATGATTTGATGGCTTATTTGTACCCTATGACTATCATTAAGTGTTGTACCTTATCTTTTCTTTTATGTACACTGAGAACATATGCACCAAGACAAATTCCTTGTGTGTCCAATCATACTTGGCCAATAAAATTCTATTCTATTCTATTCTATTCTATTCTATTCTATTCTATTCTATTCTATTCTAAAATTATTTGGTTTTAATGTGTACACTGCTCAGAGCCCCTCTATGAGGGAGATGGGCATTTAAGAAGCTTGATAAGCAAACAAACAATTAAATTCTTCCCAGTGTTAAAAAGTTAAGATGTTTAATAATGTGGTTTGTTTTATCTCAGGTCCTTCTGGACAGAATGTTCTCATTACAATAACATTTCTGATTTGGCCGCTAAACATGGATGAGAAACAGTCACACACCAATTTCAGCCAATCCTTCCTGATAAAAGCAGGCTCCAGCAATTCAAAGGCAGGATGAGATTAATTCCCAACTACTTGGATTCTCTGTAAAATTCAACAAGAGCTGGGCGATTGAAGAATAGAAAATTCCTTTTTTAATAGCCCTCTGCTTAAATTACTGGGTGCTACTGGATTCACTTCTTGAGGACACATTTGTCATGCTTTCTTCCAATTTTCTCAGTTTAGATTATGTGGCTTGGTAATTAAAAGTCTGGTTAAAAACAAACAATCATTTCATTTACCAAGAAAGTGAAACAGATACTATGGTTCCCTCTTTCTGAGCAGTGGCCAATCTTTTTCAATCTTTTCAAAAGATTCTTTCTAGGTTGGTCGTTCAACAGCCCAGCTGGAAAAGAGCCAGAACAGAGTCACACAGGCCAATCACAAAACCGGCAACAGAAGAGGCTGCCTTACTGTCAACATCATTCAGTTATCCCCGAGGAGGTGTGTGTCTTTCTCTTCCAATCAGAGCTTTTCCTGCAGGTCCTGCCCTCTTCAAACTTCATGCCAAACACAGAGTGTTGCCCGGGGCCAAAATATTCCATCGAGGCAGCTGGCACTTTGCTCATAGGATTATCAAACTGCAAAAGTTAAAAGTCCCCTGCAAAAGTTTTTTTAAAAAAAACAAGAACAGCAGGATAAGTTTCCATTTTAAGAATCAAAATAAGCAACCCACATTCACATAGAGCTAAACAACCAAGGTCACTGACTGAGATGAGTCAAATGTCCATGGCCTGAGGTTACAGAGAGAGAAAAAAAATCTCTGGCTGGCATCTGATTGGCACCTTCTAGACATAGTGCCTGCGTTTCTTCTTCATACCTCTGCAATCCTGTGCTGTCAGTCTAGACCACAAGTGTCAAACTCGCAGTGTCACGATGCCATCACGTGATGTATCACAATGTTTTTTTCAGTGGTGAAATCCAAATTTTTTTACTACTGATTCTGTGGACGTGGCTTGGTGGGCATGGCAAGGGAAGGATACTGCAAAATCTCCATTCCCACCCCACTCCAGGGGAAGGATACTGCAAAATCTCCATTCCCACCCCACTCCAGGGGAAGGATACTGCAAAATCTCCATTCCCACCCCACTCCAGGGGAAGGATACTGCAAAATTTCCATTCCCACTCCACTCCAGGGGAAGGATACTGCAAAATTTCCATTCCCACCCCACTCACTCCAGGGGAAGGATACTGCAAAATCTCCATTCCCACCCCACTCCAGGGAAGGATACTGCAAAATTTCCATTACCACACCACTCCAGGGAAGGATACTGCAAAAATCTCCATTCCCACCCCACTCCAGGGGAAGGATACTGCAAAATTTCCATTCCCACCCCACTCCAGGGGAAGGATACTGCAAAATCTCCATTCCCACCCCACTCCAGGGGAAGGATACTGCAAAATTTCCCTTCCCACCCCACTCCAGGGGAAGGATACTACAAAAATCTCCATTTCCCACCCCACTCCAGGGGAAGGATACTGCAAAATTTCCATTCCCACCCCACTCCAGGGGAAGGATACTGCAAAATCTCCATTCCCACCCCTCCCACCCCACTCCAGGGGAAGGATACTGCAAAATTTCCATTCCCACACCACTCCAGGGGAAGGATACTGCAAAAATCTCCATTCCCACCCCACTCCAGGGGAAGGATACTGCAAAATTTCCATTCCCACCCCACTCCAGGGGAAGGATACTGCAAAATCTCCATTCCCACCCCACTCCAGGGGAAGGATACTACAAAAATCTCCATTCCCACCCCACTCCAGGGGAAGGATACTGCAAAATCTCCATTCCCACCCCACCCCACTCCAGGGGAAGGATACTGCAAAATCTCCATTCCACCCCACTCTGGGGCCAGCCAGAGGCGCTGGTTCTCTGAACAACTCAAAATTTCCGCTACCAGTTCTCCGAACTGCTCAAATTTTCCGCTACTGGTTCTCCAGAAC